TACTAGTACTGTAGTAGTACTGTAGTAGTACTAGTAGTACTAGTAGTAGTAGTAGTACTAGTAGTACTAGTAGTAGTAGTAGTAGTAGTAGTAATAGTAGTAGTAGTTTTAGTTTGGTGGTGGTGGTTCTGGTAGTAATAGCAGTAGGCAGGGTCATGGGACGGTGGGGGCTGTTACAACCAGAGCACCGAGACTGGCCGGAAGCGCTCCCAGCCCCAGCCACCCGGCAGGTCCTGGTACAGAGCGATGCACCGAGGCTTCTCGGATCTGGGGCGCCCTTCGGGGACGAAGTGTCTGCAGCCAACTGCTGTGCGATCCAACTTGTAGGCTGCGCAATCAGCCCCCAAATCCCCCCCGGTCCCAGGCGTTGCGATGAGAGCTGGTATCCTTGGCTTGGTCCAGGTCTCATGCTCTCACGTTCAAGATAATCCAACACCTTTGGGCCGTACACCAAGTTACCAGCAAGGATATGTAACCCAGCGCTATTCATGAGTTTCTGTCGGCTGACAGCACAGGAGACCTGTTGACAATCAACCGACAAGTGTAGCTGGATTTTGCTCTAGGCATCCATCTCGCGCTTGTTCGGCATCCGCATGTACTTGTTGTGGGCAGCGCAGTGCAGGGCCACCTGGTGATTGGGTGAACGCCGGGAAAGCTTGATGGGCTAGGACTGACCCAGGTCGAAACCCATCTGATGTTCACCATGGATGTTGCATTACGAAAACTACCGAGTACTGGCCCCGCCATGTTCGCGATGGCGATGCACTGCAGCTCTAAAGTTTGCGAAAGACATGCTCACAATGCAACACGCGTGAGCACGCTTTGAACCGCGGAATGCTTGGGGGACTTTGGCGAGAGCAGGGTTTTCGAGGCACACGGACATCCAGGGTTTTGCTGTGAAGGTGTCGCGCGGTCATGATTCGGCTTTAATTTGCCCCACACAGTGGGCAAAGCTGCTGAATGCCACTAGCCGGCGAGAGCACGAGTTTGACTGGAGCGAGCTTACACGAAGAAACGCGAATCCAGCGGCACACACAGCTACAAAAGAATCTGATTCCCGTCGTATTCCCGTCTCGAGAAATGTGTGGTGGCGCAATATCTTTCGCATCTGTGAAAAGCTCAAGCCTGCACACGGCTTGCCTCAAAGCTGTCAACAACGTGTCGAGATTTCTCTACTTTCCTTATCGAATTTTGTTCATTGCTTATTCTTGATAATTCTGAATTCTCCGCGAGGCTCTCATTTCGGAATGTCGACTTGCAACTTTTTTGGCACTTATTGGTCGTTTACATCGCAAAAACATCGAACATTCCAGCGTAAACCTCAAACATTGAACCAGCTCCCTGAAGTTCAGTCCCTCCACTTTTGCAGGAGCACAAAAATTGCCCAAACTCCGAAACCTCCCAGCCGACCAGGCGACCAGTCCAAAACAAACGCGCCACAAGGCCACCCTGCCTCCCACCCTCCGGCGTCCACGGCCGTGAAGGTCTCCCAGCTTCCCCTGTGGGGTGCGCCGTCCATGTCCTGCCGGAAGAAAATGCGCTGCGAAGTGTGTGGCTGGCCCCATTGTAGCAACCCATATATACTCGAATGTGCCTACACGCCTACACTTGTAGGCACAGCAAGAGACGCCAATCTTGCACGCGAACTTCGAAACGGCATGCAGATGAGGAGACGCTCGGATCGAAACCCAAGCAACTCCTCATTCATCTTAGATAGCCGGATAGCCGTGTCCCGAGAGACCGGTTCTAGTGACAAGGCATGGCAAGGCCCCGCCGGTCGTGGTTGTTCCTCAACCGGATCCACCGGTTTTCTCGCGGGTTGTGTAAGCCAATCTTCGCGTCACCTCAGTACGCTTTGAAAACTTCGAGCCGAAGACGATGGAGGCTCTCATAACACGCACAGTCCCGCGGTCGCGGTCTTGGACTGTGGTTCCGAGAGCTGGCGCGCTGGCCTGCGAAGTGGACCCGGAAGAAGCTGTAGGTCCAATCCTTGGGCAGGCTGTCCTCGGTGCGCGGCTCGTGCACAAAGCCGTAGACTTCTGAGACACTGTGAGTCTGGCACTGCCCTGACATGTGACATGGAGCTTGGATTGAGGATCTCATCCGCAGGAGGGTCACAAGGCATCGAACACTTGCAAAGGAGACCTACCGTCCGGCGAAACGAGGCCCATTCTCGAAGCCACGTTTCATAGCTCCTGACGCCTGTCCACACCATGTCGTGTGCCCACCTGAGTTTCGAAGGGAGCTGTGCGTTTTCATGGCTGGTCTACAAGTTGCCTCTTCCTCAGAGCAACCATGAAATTTGTCTCTGGTCCGAGCTGCATAGCCACGAAGCGACCGTGGTGATGGCGATTGTGGAAAGCCACCGTGGCACCCAGCATCAAGGACTGCCACAACGAATATCGTTAGGCCACAGTCTCTCTGAGTCCATCCACGTCACTACCAACGCACAGCACAAACCATACATGCTGCCCATCCCCCTTCAGAGGGCCCTGCGTTGCCTGGCAGCGTGTGCCGCGAAGGACGTGGCCGCCGTCACAGACTCCGCAGTGGTCATTTTGCTGCAGCGATGCAGGAAATGGACCAAGGCGGTTCCATGCTGCTGTGAGGGTAAGGAGAGGCAATGCTGTTGCATTTTCGGACATTGAACGCTTGGCGGCAGCTACAGCCTGTCCAGAAACGACGATCCTAACGACAAACCTTCGCAAATCTCCCACAAATGCCGAAACCGAACCCGGCCCCCTAGCACCCTGCGCTGATGCTGCGCGACGCAGGCGTGGCAGATGCGATGAACTCCGCCCGTGCAGCTGTAGGCCTCGCTGACCCGAAGAAAAATCTCTACGACAGGACACTCCAGGCGTCTCCCAGTGTCTGTGTGCGAGCATGAAATCTGCCACTGTTCAAGCGGTCTGCCCAGCGGAACAAAAGTTCTTGTGGGTTTTATGTGCGAGGGACACGAGTGTTGGTGCATGCGATCGTGCCAGTACGTGCCTGCAGTGGCACCATCGTGTGACAGCAAGGCTATGCCATACAGCTTTCGTGTGAGCGTTTGATCCAGCAATTGTGTGCGTGCAGCTAGCCTGTGCTCGTGCACGTGGGCGCCGCTGTGCAAAGACGCAACCTGCCCGCCTTGCAGCCATGGCCATGCCTGTAGTAGCCGGGATTGCACGTGGCGCAGTGGTTGTCGACCTTGGCAGTTCGCTCTAGCAGGGCCCCGGTCGGCTCCAGTGCATGGGCGCCCGACGTGTCGGTGCCATGGGCTTTGGCAGGTTTTGCAGTGGCTGCCACCGCCGGTGTGGCAAGGCTTGATCTGCAGAAAGAGTCCGGTCAGATCATGCACTCCACTAGATACTCACAGCTGTTCACGCCAAATTCCGCACACGCCTCGAGCACGTGGAAGAACTCCCTCACGCAAGCTTAAGCTAGCTTCTTCCCTGTCTCTCTTCTTCCTCGGCAGAATTAGGAGGCATCTCTCTGTCTCTCGGTCCTCCTTCTCCTTCACCGGGCTTGAACAAGTTCTCTCTTGCTCTCCTTTCTGGGCAAAGCAAACAAGCACCTCTCCCTCTTTTTCTTTCGTCGTCTTTGGGAGCAGCCTCACCTGCGTTCACTAAGTTTCTCCCTGCTGTGCGAGTACACGCCGAGGCCGACATCTCGAATCCGACCGACGATCTCCACTGATCCCCGCGAACCCGTGCCAGCAACCCGGCTGGGCTAAAAAGTTAGATGCCAGCGCCCCAAGCGGCTCGCATGGGGCAATTTGCTCCCAGCTTGCGCTCGGACTCTCTTTCGTTCTCTCGATCTCTTCTGGCGAAAGTCGGCTTCGCCTTGCAGCTTCCAATTTCTGAAAACCCAAACCCAAGCGCTCAACAAAAGCATCGCGCGAAGCATTGCGCGGTGTCTCTTCGTGCCTCGAATTCGGGCAGTCCACCACCCTATCGACCAGAGCAACAGGCAGGCCCTAATCCATAGATGTTCGACTTCAAAACACATTGCAAAGTTGCAAGTTTTTTGAAGTCGGTGGCATGCTGTCTCCCTCTCTCGTGGGCGAAAAGCATTCCGTAGTTAAGGGCCCCGCAGTCCTTATGTCGGCACAGGGCGCTCCATTCTGTTGGTATCCGCCGACCCCTGCCGGGGCGGCGCCCAGAAGCTCCCCTACGCGGCGGTTGCCGTTTTCGGAGATAGCTATCGATAGCCTCACCACCACGCATGCGGCGGTTGCCTCCAGGCACTTTTCTTTCCGGCAGTACTAGAAATATGCATTTATTCCACTTTTTTCGTGTCGGGCACCTGCCTTTGCGATTGGTTCTTGCTCTCAGCTGCACTTTCAGTTGTTTCCCCCTGGGCTCTCCTGGGCCCCCCTGTACTAGAGTAATTTAAAGGCACGCCAATGTCTGCCCCACCCCTTCCCGGCACCACGCGGCCCTACTCGCC